GGGGGGGGGGGGGGGAGTGGGATGGGCCATGGATGATGAACTCACAGACGCGGCCCCCGCCCGCGCCTGCCGTCGCGCGCAGGGGAGCCCAGACAGGGCACAACGCGCCGGCTGCGGGCGCACCCGCCAGGCCGCGCGGCCCGCCTGCCGACCTGCCGGCTCGCAAGCTGGCCTGGCGCACCTGCAGCGCGTAGTCTGGCACGTGGATGTCGTCAAAGAATTCAATGCCCACACGTACGCCCTTCCTGCAAGGCGGACCGTTTGCCCAATCAATTGAGGCCGCCACGCACAGCCCGGACGCCGAGCGTCGCTGCAGGTCACGGACGGCACGAGCCGCACAGCACGGCTGCTGCGTGCAAATCTTCCGCCAGCGCTCCGTGCGGCCGGGCCCTGTCGTCGCCGCCTATGGATGCTCACTTGCTGCATGAGACGATTTTACCGACAAGCACCTCCCCGGCGAACGGCCGGAACACCACGAGGCGAAACACCACCCTGAAGTAGGCGGCGCCGTCGTTTGGGTAAATGTGGCCGCCCTCCACGCTCAGCACGTCGTAAATGGTCACCACCAGGCCAAGTTCGGGGATAACCCTGTCTAAGTAGTCCTTCTCGAGCACCTCTGTTACGGCTGTGAGCGGGGGCTTGATCAGATCCTGAGGGCTCACGCGCACGTCCGCTTCAAGCTTTGAAAGCACGAACATGGTTTCCTGACATCGCGCTATCAACGCTGGCACCAGCGCCGGGCCTAGTTTGAGCCCCTCACGCATGACGCGCCACACAGCAGCTGCCGCTGTTGTCCAGCTCTGGGGCACGATTTCAGGCGCCTGCTTTGCTCAACAACAGGCTGAAAACTGAGTATCCCCAACAACACGCTGTGCAATCCTACTTATGGGACTCGAAGCTGCAGCCAGCACTGTGAAAAGGTCGACGCACACCGGAACGGCCAGCAATGGAATGTAGGTCCCCCGTGCTGATTTCCGTGCAGGCCGCCGTCCGTGCCACGTCTTGTTGCTGCGTTGGGGCATTCATCACACAGTAACACTGCGAGGGAGTTCATGAAGCTGCTGCAGGCCCCGTAGCACGTGTGCTGTTTTATGCTGACCAGGTTTGACCACGATTGTAGTATGTGGTATCACTCCTTGCGATACATGACGACGGCAGGCTTGGGTCTCCGTTACCATCAAACGATGCACAGATGTGTTGTTGGATGTAGGGCAGGCATGAGGCTCCCTGGGCCGGTCCTGCCGCTGGGCTGGTCCTGCATTCGTAATGCCTATCTGTTGCAGTGACAGCGACACGATACGGGAAAACTGCAAATGTGGCAAGGGACCTCGCACCTTCCACAGCACACACCTGTTGAGTAGTTGATTTACAGCTGGACTGCCTCGATGCGAAGCAATCCCAAACATTTGATCAGATCCAGCCGGCTGCACACAAAACTGAATGAATAAATTTGAGCATGCGTTCCTGCAAAATGCAGGTGTGCGAAGAACGGGCGGCACAAGGCTGGATGCAACGCCGAGCCCTTTGACAATCCTGAGGGTCGGCAATGCCAGATGGAGCCACAATGCGTTTGTGGCTGACATTGGATGGACGCTGCGATGCCGTGGCAGTATCTGCGACTTGGGGCGCCGTTTGACGCGACAATGCAGCCTCTCCGCTCGCAGACCTGCACTGGAGAAGCATCTGACTGCCAGTGCCGCGACGCATGCATAGTGCCCATGCGCATCGCCCATGCAAACTGCCTGTGCGTAATGCCGCAACCCCGCATGAGGCATGCAATGCATGCAATGCATGCAATGCATGCAATGCATGCAATGCATGCAATGCATGCAATGCATGCAATGCACTTGATCGGACGGTCTCTACCCCTGCCCTCACACAAACACCCTCTTCATGAAATCGTGGAACCGCCGGCTGTACTGCGCGGGCGGGACCGCGCTGATCGCGCGTGCGCCGCCGCGGCCCGCGCTGCCGACCGCCTTCACTACGTGCTCCAGCCGCTTCAAGGAATCGTATACTGTAAATATGTCGATGATGCCGAAGAACAGCACCACATCCCGCGCCCCCGACGGCGCGTCGCCCGAGTCTTGCGCTGCGCCAGCCCCGGCCGCCGCCGCCGCCGCGGTGGCCGCGCCGCCGCCGCCCGGCGGCAGCGCCGTCGCGGCCATCGCCGCGCCCAGCTGCACGCGGCTCTGCCCGAGGCTGAGCGCGAGCGCGTCGCTCGAGCCCTCCGTGAACGCCACGGGCCGCATAGTGTCGCTGCGCTTGGGGCGCGCAGCCAGCACCGACAAAGCGCCGCGCCGCGCCGGGACAGACGTGGCGGCGGCGACGACCGGGCCGCCGCCGCCGCCGCCGCCGCCGCGGCGAGCGTGGCGGGGTGCCGCTGCGAGCATTTCCAGGCGTGCGAGCTGCAGCAGGCCCTGCTTGGCCTCGAGGCCGAGGTCGAGGGCCCCCACGCGCGCCTCTATCCGCGCCATGCGCCGCTGGAGGGCGGCTGGGGTTGAGTTTAAGAGGGGGGAGGGGGGAAGAGGCGCGACGCAGACTCAAACGAGGGTCATGACATCCAACAAGTGCCATCTTTTGGGCATCGAGGGCTGGTGACAAGCCAGGGCAGCGCTTCAGGAGGTGGCATACCAAGCAAGCATGGGCCCGTGGGTGAGACCCTCTCTTGTATCAGTCAAAATGCGGCAAACGGGGGTCATTTGGCTGGCATCATGACCCCCCCTGTAACTCCAAACACACCCCTCACACCCCACGCGGTGACCCCTGCATACAGCCCTCCCATGCCCCACCCTCATCATCCGCATTGTGCTCCTCGAAGTTGACCGCCGCCGCCGCCGGCATCCCATCCGCCGCCAGCGCCACCGACGCCGCCGCAGCCGCCTCCGCCTCCGTTACGCCGCCGGGGCTCGAGGCTGCCAGCACCGGCGGCGTCCCCGGCCGCGCCCCGCCCTCGTCTCCCGACCACGGCTCCTCCGACGCCGCGTCCCCGCCCCCGCCGCTTGCCTCCCCGCCCTCCTCCAGCATCGCCAAAGACGCAGCGCTCACCCGCCGGCTGTGGCAGCCGCGCGGCGCGGCGCCGCCGCCTGCGCCTCCGCCGCTGCCCCCGCCGCCGCTGCCGCCGCCGCTTGCGCGCGGCCCGCGGGCGCGGTCGTGGACTCCCAGCAGCATCGAGTAGTCCATCACGCCGCACGCCTCCAGCAGGGCGCAGTCCGACGCGATCTGGCGGGGCGGGGCGGGGCGACGGGGCGGAGCGCGGTGGGCGGGGGCCAGAGCCTCCCCAGCCGATGTTGCACCGAAGCGTGCGGGGGGTGCTGGGGCCGGCGCCGGCGGCGCTGTGCCACGGTGCTGCGGCTGACTCGCAGGGATGCTGTCTCCAGACGTGACACCCAGCTGCTTGCCTGCAAAGCTGCGTGCCTGGCTGTGTCTGCCACACTCCCCCTGCCACAGACACACACACACACACACACACGTACACACACACATTCTCTCTGTCTCCCCCAGCCTTACATTCAACGCCATCACAACAACATACTCCCACGCTTACATTTACGCATCCGCGAGTGCGCATACGCACATACAGTGCACATACTTAATCCAGCACCGTACGGCACGCGCTCTACAACGCCCTCTAAAAAGCCCTAACCCCGGGCCCCCCACTCGCCCACTACATCACACCCTGTCACACCACCCCTCTGACCCTCGATACCAACCAACCGCCCCCAGGCCCCCTCCCACCTGCTCCATGAGCCGCTCATGCCACTGGGCCTCCAGTTTGAAGCAGCGCCCCCCCAGGTCCAGGTCTTTTAGCACAACCCGAGGGTCCCCCTGGCGTGCCTGCATGGGGGTGGGGGGCGGGCGGGCGGGCTGTGCGGAAGTGGGCGGGAC